GGCCCAGGTATTATCCCTGACCGGAATTCACACCCGCAGCCCTTTGGTGTACAGGACAATGCTCCAATTGAGCCGCTTGGCCAGGGCATCCTCGGTTTTTAAACAGCTACAGTTGTCCTCTATTGTTTGGATATACCATAATTTACTTAAGTACTCCCCAAATGATAGACATTTGGATGGTTTCCAATCTTTTGTTACTATAAAGGAGGATGAAATAAATGATCTTATACAGGAGTCATTTCAAAACTGCACACATATAACTAAGATAAATTCCTAGGTGTGGAATGTGTTGGGTCAAACAAAAATAATAATTGCTAACCTTTATATAGTGCTTGCCCTAAGCCAAGCATTCATCTATATATCCTACACACATTAACCCATTTATTCGCCTTTCTCAATAATCCTATGAGGAAGGAACTATTACTATCTCCATTTGAAAGATGAGGAAACTGAAGCACCAAGAGGTAAAACAAGCTGCTCAGCATCACACACCAGCAGGTATGAGTGCCAGCCCACCTGTAGCCAAAGTTTATACTCTTAGCCGTTACACTTTATTTGCTCAAGGAGTGTATGTATTTATATTTTAAATAGGCATTAACAAATTTTCTGCCATGCTGGGATATTAATTTATTCTCTCACCAGCTTCATTGTACTTTTTTGTCTATAGGTTCATCAAACTTGGGAAATTTTGTTGGTTTAATTATAGGTAAAAAATGGAATACCAATGTGGTGTTAATTTGCATTTCTCTTATAATAACTGAGGTTGAATATCTTTTATATACTTAAAAGCCATATGTATTAACTTTTCTATGAATTATCTTTTCATATCTTTTGTGTAATTTTATACTGGAGCACTGGTTTTTTTCTTATGGAGTTCTAGGAGCTCTTTAAGTATTTAAGATATTAGTGTATTATCTGTGATATAAATTGGAAATATTTTCCCTAGTTCTTTTTATTTTGACTTTCATATGCTTTCTTCCTATAGCAGTTTTTGATATTTATGTAGTCAAAGTGATCAATCATCTATAGATTCTAGATTTTAAATAATTTCAAGATTATAGGAGAGTTCTCCTGTTTTTAATAGCTTTTTATGGTTTAACTTTTAAAAATTAAATATTTGATCCCTTTAGAATTTATCTTGTCGTATGATATGAGGTATGGATCCAACTTCATTTTTCCCCAGGTGGTTTATCTAGTTGTTTTATTGGACAACCCTTGATTTCTTCACTGATTTGAGATACTGCCTTTATCAAATCTCAATTTCAGATATTACATTCTCATATGTAATTTGGTTCTATTTCTAGACTTTGTGTTCTCCTCTTCCATTTTTCTATCAGCATATGCATTAAATATTACCTTAAGATTTCATTATTGAGGTTTATAATACACTATACTATCTAGGAGGGCCATATTCTCTCAATGCTTTTAATTTCCAGAACTGTCTTTATTATTCATGCCAATTTTTCATATGAACTTCATAATCAGCTTTTCAAGTTTTATTTTAAGAAAACTATCGACAGTTTTATTGGGATGTTGTAAACTTCTTAGACTCACTTTCAAATCTTCCTAAATACAATACACTCCTTAAGACCCTTAAGTCTGATTCAAGAGGGCATGGGTGCTGGTTAAAAAAAAAATTAAAAAGCTGAGTTTTCTTGGTTGTGTGTAATGGTAATTGAGATTTATTTATGCATTTATTTAACAATAGATGTTATTAATCCTCTTGATGTTCCTAGTTGTAAGACATTTGTCATCTCTTTCAAAGAAATTATAAGGAGAAAACAGATGTTCCAACATGAAAAACTTCCAGAAGGATGTTTGTTTAATCTGACCTGCCACCCCAACTTCATACCTCCTGCCCCCAATCAAAGGAGCACTCCCAACAGCCACTGAAATCACCAGTGCTTTGTGGGTACTGACTTGCCCACCTTGGCTTTAGGTTTCTGATAAACGCTTTAAGTTCTTGCTGTTGAAGGTGTGGTCCGTGGACCAGCAGCCTTGGCATCACCTCAGAGCTTGTTACAAACTCACGCTCTTGTCTCACCCCAGACCTACTAGATCAAAGTCTGTATTTTAACAAGATCCTGAGGGAGTTCATTAGCAACTTAGTTTGAAAAGCAAAAGATCAGTGGTTCTCAGAGTGTGGACCTGGCAGCAGAAGGGGCATCATCTGGAACCATGTACAACATTCAGATCTTTGGGCCCACTCCTACAGCTACTGAATGGGAAGTCCTTGGGCTCAGTCCGCAGTCCGGCGCAGCCAGCCCTCAGCCGAGCTCACGCGTGCCAATGACTAAGAGCGGCTGCTCTGGACCAGGGATCAACCTCGGCCAGCTCTGAAAATTCCCCGCACTTATGGGCGCCCCAGATGAGATAAATGAGAATTTCAGGCCTTCACACCACGGAGTCAGTATTCGTCAACTCTTCCAGGTGATTCCAATGTGAAGCCAGGGTGAGAACTTCTGCTCTGCCTCGAACACAGCTTCTTAAACCGGGCTTCATGTAAGAGCCACCTGAGGAGGCCTCCAAGAAACCCTGACGCTCAAGTTCTCACTCTGAGACGTCAAGTGCTCTGCACGAAGCCCAGGGTCACTTTTTTTAAACAGTTAGTTTCTCAGGAGGTTCCAATATCCAGCCAGGATTTTAAACCTGTGTTTTAGAAATACCTCTTTCCCCACACAAACTTTAAGTCATACTAAAGAGAATAAAGTTTGGATGTAATGGAAAAGATGTCTTTTTCAATTCCCGTATATTTACTGAGTCCTTGCGGTGTGGGAGGCCAGTTAGTGTGGAGATTAGAAGTAATTTCAAAGCATAGTTCCTGCCCATAACAGGATATACAATCTGCATTGGCACAAAAGACTACATATTTCTTAAATAACTATTTAAAAGTAATATATTCCATGCTACTGGCTATAATACAGGTTAAAAAGTTACACGTATCATTATAACATTGTTAGGTCAAACTAACTTGTATTCCTTCTAAAAAAGAACAGAAGATGAAGAAAATATATTAGAAATGGTTATGAAACAATTTGAATGCACTTAGCAATCAGTCCTTAGATATTTGAACCTGGAGAAAGCAATGGACAAGGTCAATGGCTGAAGAATAATGCAAGCCTAAAATGCTTTCAAGTCTCCTCGGCATAATGAAAATTATGCTATGGAATCACTGACAGTCAGCTCAACCCAATACTGTTCAGTAAATTAAGTTATAACTACTAAAAAAAGTAATGATCAAGATATCGGCAATGAAAGAGCTAATAGTAAATATTTTTCCTTTTTATTATTAGAAATATAACTATTTATTTTGGCCTATTTGCCTCTCCTTTTATATCAGCCTCTTTTGACAATCCATTTTAAAATAATGAAACATATTCTAGTCTGGGAGAAATAATTAGCTATAAATATTTTTCACATATATGGGCTATTGAATTTATTTATAATTTTAAATGAGCGATCAAAATTCAAAATTTCATATCAGTTTTATGAAAAAAAAGTATATTAAACATCTAAAACTGGGTCAAAATGTTTAAAACTCTGCTTGAATTCAGCTAAATATTGGTTTTGATAATTCAGCTAAATATATGACACCGACTCCTTTGTTTTATTATTAGTTACAAAGGCAAGGATGTGATGTAATTCTTTAAGACTATAAAAGAAGTTCCTTTTTCTTTTTTAAAATTTGATTGGCTTTATTAAGCAAGTCATGAATTGGCAGCATGTCATCTAGCAACTGAAAAGGTGCTCCTTCTAAAAGGAGTTTCTAAATCAAGAAAATAATCACAAATGCACCACATCTCTCTTGTGCCATCAGAAAATACAGGGTAAAAAAGGTGACAGCCCTTTCAGTGAAACCAATTTAGGGTTGGAATAGGACTAAGGGAATCCCTATTTAACGTCATGATGTCTCCTTCTACTATTGACCCCGCAATAGTAGGTGATGAATTTCAAGCTGTTTCCCAATAAGGGTGGTGGATACCCTGATTCAACCACACTCTCTTCTTGTGTCCACGGATATACTCATTAGACAGTAGGTTGATATCTTTACGTGCGCCCATGAACTAGAACTAAGTTTACTGGATTCAGTATGTTTTGAGCCCATCATCTGGGATCAAATTTACCTTCAAAATGGTCAGATGAGAAAAGGGGGACATTTATTATTATTCTGATTTTATAGATGGACAGACTACGTTTTAATCAGTAATGGATAATAAAGGATGGTGTAGGGTTCATCAGTGGGAGTTGGAAAGGTAACAAAATAGTTTGGATTAAAAAGAAATACCCCATGTTGTATCTGCCTTCCCACCCAATAAGTACACAGAACCTGACTGAGAATCACTTCTGTATGTGAGTTGCCATTATTGAGTGTTTTGTCATCTCCAGTGTTTGGGGGGCACTTAATCAGGTTGAAAACCAGTGCTGCAAAGGCAACCCACACAGGAAATCAAACCTTCAGTCCTGTATTTTATCTATTGGAGTGGGTGGTTTAAATAAATTCTATAGTTGCTTGAATAAAAACATTTTAGAGATAATGACTGAATTGCAGCAACTACAGAACTCTAAGCCACCCATGACTTTTATTTTGCTCTTAGGAATCTGTGGAATGATTCCCTTCATTCTTCAAAGGGGGCCAAAGCACAGGGCATTTGATTTGCTTAGCCAGGTGTTAACCATGCCATCGCTGACTCACAGAAGTGCTAGCCAGACATTTCAAACAAAGGCAAATCCCAGTTTAGTGCTTTGGAGGACCTTTTTTTTTTTTTCTTTATAACTTGAGTTCTGGTCTGGAAAGAATTCAGAGCCAAGACTCAAACTATAAGAGAAAGTTTATTTAGAGAGTCACAGAGGCAGAAGAATTGAGTGGTAGAAGAAATGGGCTCAGGACACAAGCTACAGAGTCCGAAGACGGGGCCCTTGGAGCTCAGGAGAGAGAAGGGTAAAGGTAACGTGGGGTAAGGGGGTGGGGAAATTTGGTGACATTTTTAAGTAGGTGCTACATACCTGTTCTGTGGGAGTTTCCGTCTTTTTTCTGTTGTGAAGTTGAAGGTAAGAGTCCATTTTAGAGGTGGGTAGTCCCAAAGTCAGCTTGTTTTTTTCCACAAAATATTGTTTGGACTTCCTTTGCCGAGGGCCACGTCGCCGTGACAAGAAAACCTCTTTATGTGAATGTGAACTCTTCAAGGGCTGAGAGAGGTTGCCGGACTTCTCTGCCAGATCACTGTCACTCAGCTCTGCAAACGGCTTGCCGTGATGGGCTCCGTGCTCATAGTCGGGGCTTAAAAATTCACTGCCAAGTAAGGAGGCTTCGCTCTGTGGGCTCTTTTTCTGTTCGCCCTTCCCCCCTGGCAGTTCCAGCGAAGTCTCCCTGGAAGGGTAGAGCGGACCCAAAGTCAGATCTCCTGTGGAACTGCCCGGAGACCCTGGCGATGCTTCCACACTCAGCGACGGCCCTTCCTCTCTCTTGCTCTTCCAGTTTGGGTCATAGCGGAGATCTGAGTATTTGTCTTCTTTTGGTTTTTGGCTGCCCAAAGCAGAAAAGAAATTCCAATACTTAAGATAAATTTACTCATTACATTTAGTCAGTCATTTCATTTGAAATAAATCTCAACCTTTCTCCTATAATTTTCCTTTTACTATTGACATGTTAAAGATATATCTCAGGCATTTTCAAATTAGGCCCACACACTACCCATCAGGGTAAAAACGTCTTAATTATTCAAGTTTATTAAACTAGAGACTAGAAACAGGGGACAGTTAATTTCTAAGTACCAGGAAACAACTGAAAAACATATGCCTCTAATGTAAACCAGCTAATGACCATGGTTTGAGGAATGCTATTCCTTATGCACAGTGTAAGTATTTCAGCTGATGAAGACGAAGCTGACTTCATGCTTTAGTTGGTCATGTACACATTTGGCTATTTGTCTAAGAAGGAAAATATGAGCAGCACCCAGACACTTGACTCAGTCTGCTCCCCTGCAGGGGGAAAGCAAGATGTATCCCAACTGAATTCCTACACAGGTTCATCCTCCTTTTCAGTGACTTTACTTTTTAGTTCATTTTGTGTTTGTTGATTTTACAAATGTACTACAGAACAATCCCCAAGATTTAGAATCAGAAAGTGGCTCACATCTCTTCACAGAAAACTCAGTAGACAGGTCAGCGTGTACTTGAAGCGTAGGACAGCTCTATTTGAATAAAAGGTTAAGCCAACAGTCCTGGCTGAGGGAAGTGGACTTGACCCCAAATAAAGACCTCTCTTTTCCCCATGGCAGGCTCAATTTGTAAAGCATCTTCTAGTCTTAACCAAAAAAGAAAAAAAATGCTGATAATATGGCATATTTAATGGCCCCTTTGATCTTCAAAAGCTAAATGGGAGAGATTTTCCTCCCTTGTGTTCAGGAGATGCAATCCTCTAATCAAAAAGGAAATGTAAATCAGCTTTTTTATGCTATTTGATATTCCCATTTACAGAGGACATAATTTTACCCTGGGTAAACAAAATAATGGTGCACCTGATACCAATTTACTCTTCTTAATGTGGACCTAGATTTCTTTGATTTGATGTAAAGCAAAAACTACAGCAAAAAGACAAAACTCCCATGTCTTGCTAAATTGTCATTGTGAATTTTTTAGTTCACATATTAAGATGGAAAACTTTTTGGAATAGGTGGTTCTTCCTTTGCCATCAGGGGAAGAAATTACATAGTTTCCTCCAGCAAAATGCCTGGATGAAGAAGGTTCTCACTATCAGGAAACCGGACACCAGACCGTGCGACTCACCTCTCCCTACGCACCATGACGCAACGGCCTCTGGGGCTTCGGTAAACTTTCCCGTGTGATGTCCCATCATGTGAACTCACTGTATTTTTTGGCCGTGCCTGTTGCCTGTTGCCTGTTCCAAGGGTCACTGGGTGTGTCTTAGAGGCATGAAGTGCCTCTAAGCAGGGCACACTGGACTTGGGACTGGACAGACCTGGGTGTAAGTTCTGGGTCAGTCACTACCTGCCTGAGCACCAGCTGGCAGATTTGTCACCTCTGAGCCAGTGTCTCTCAGCTCTGAGTTGGGATGAATTTTATTTATTCTGTTTATTTCTCAGGATTGCATAAGAACCAAAATGGGACATTACATCTGAATTAACGTTCTGTGTTTGGGCTTATTTCACTTTTCACTGTGGGGACCTGTCTCCTCACCTGGTTAACGTTGTGGGCTCCGGGCACTGAGGGTTACCCTCCCCTCCCTCGCCTAGTCCTCTGCCCTCCGCTGGAGACAAAAGAGTCAATAAGTGTTCCTTAAATAAATAACAGAGCCTCTGAAAATACCCTAGTCAACAGAAATGTAGTATTAGGTACTTATTTTTTTAAACCAATAATAGTAAGTTAGAATAGAAACGTGCAGAAAAGCTTCTTGCATTGGACCAAATTAATGACTGATTTTAGGGTTCATCTTGCATGCAGTTCCATGTAAGGTTCCACTGTGGTTGCTCAGGTGGGAAGAAAAGGTACGGACTGCCCCGATTATAGCTTCAAGTAAACAAAGATATGATATTTAAATGAAGAAAGGTGCCGTTTCACCACATCCACAATATATTGAAAGGAAAGTGAACTGAACTCTTCTCACTGATTTGCTTGACTCAACAGAATTGAAGTTTCCTCATCCATTTGCTCACGCAGTGATTGGACAGATATTTACTGAGTACTTACAAGCTAGAGGAATCCAGTGCTGGGCTCAGAGCCTAGGAGGGGGAAGAAAGCGAGGCAACAAGCAATGACCACAGGAGCGATGCTGGGGCCGTCAGAATTCCGCAGGGACAGCCACCCCGCCTTGCAGGGTCAGGGAAAGCTGAGGCCTAAGGCCAAGAAGGGCAGAAAGTGCATGCTAGGCTGAGGGAACGACACGGAAAAAGAATGGAGGGGAAAGAAAACATGGCACTTCCCAAGACTGAATTCCATACAGATCAAGTGGAGGGCGGGGGCAGGAAAGGTCGAGGAGCAGCGCTGAGTCAAGGACAGGTGATGTCTTGTAAGGACTTTGTAATCTCTGTGAAGGAGTTTGGCTCAACTAAATTAATTTGAGAGTTTGAATTTAATTAGCAAAAATAATTTAATTAGAGAGCAAAGATGTAGTAACAAACACTTGTTACTACTGGGTGTAAATTATTGGTATTTTTACCAAAGATGTGGTAACAAGTGTTTGTTACCACATCTTTGCTCCTTCGCGTTGCTCTTTTGCTTTGGAGAGTGAAAATGAGGAGCTTTTGGAAGGAATTATCGACAGAGGCTGTAAGGGCTTGGGGCGGGGCCGGAAAGTGTTAGAACAGGTGGTCCTTTGCAGTGTTTAAAGCAGGGGCTGGCAGCCTTTCAAAGTGACAGGTCTCATGGGGGTCACTGTTCTGCCACTGAGACACAGGGCAGGATGTGGCTACTGATCCAAGGCATGCTTTGAGCCAATCTCTAGCGTTTTCCCTAGAACAGTCCAATGAGGGAGGTACTACTATTCTCCCCATTTCATAGATGAAGAAACCGAGCCTTAGAGAGCTCGGTTTCTTCAAGGTCACAGAGCTGCCCAGCGGAGGGGCCAGGATACAGACCTGGCAGTCTGTCCAGGACCTGGCTCCTGTCCATTAGGTGGCCCTTTGGCTGTTCCCAGAGGTGGCCGTGAAACATGCATTGTCACAGGGCCTGCCTCATGCAAGTCAGTGAATTGATCAGTCTGTTGACCAGTCAACAAAGGTGTACTGAACGGCTCCCGGGGGACCAGGCACTGACGGTGGGGTGGCGGCAAACCAGAAACAGGCTGATGGACCTTACCTGCTACTGAGGGAGATGCGCTCTATACGCCAACGGTAACAATCAAGTAACAAATTAGATGGGTAAAGAGATAGAGAATATTATGGGTATTTAAAATAGGAGGAGATAACCTTGTTTATCACTGAAAACACATTAACTTCTTATTTCCAGCTTCAGTTGCTAGAATATATCGCAAAGTCCATTCCAACTGTATTGTTCTATGATCCTATGATAAACTCACATAAGACTCAATAACCAAGGAATGTCTACTATTAAAAAAAAGAAAAAGCAAAAGCTGGTCTTCACTGATTGAAGGACATGATTCCTGACTTCCACTTGTGCAGTAATGTTACCCAAAAAACTGGCACTCGGACTGGTCATCATATTTAATCAGCATCAGCTGATAGGGCCCAGTCATGGTTGCTGACCTTCCTCGGTCACATAGAATCTCCACAGCGCTTTGCTTCTCTGAGTGACCACATGGAGTATCTGGGTTCTGAGGGGCGGTGTAGCCGGGCGTCGCAGAATAAGGGCTGGAATCCGACTGCCCGCACTTGGTTCCTGGTGCTGCCAGTTACTCTGTGAGCTTGGGCGCAACAGTAACTTCTCCGTGCCTCTGCTTTCTCATCCATAACACGGTATGGGTTATGATAGTACCCGCCTCATAGCGCGGTTGAGAGGATTAAGCAAATTTATAAATACATAAAAAGCTTAGGACTATGTCCTCGACACACAGAGCAAGGGCGCCACGAGGGCGAGCTCCGAGCGCGTTTCAGTGGGCTCCCCCCTGGCCTCGGCCGGCTGGGGTCGCCGTCAGTTGCCACGGGGTGACGTTGCCTGGGCACTGCGCTTCCTGCCCATGGGCCTCCAGGGCTTCTCTCCCCAGGGCGTAAGTTATTTCCAGGGTACAAAGGTGTCTTGTGATGCATTAAGTGGCACCTTAGTGGCCTGAAGAAATGAACACATCTTTTTAAAAAAATCCCATTTTTAACACGACTGAAACGTCATGGACAAATCTGTCAAAACTGCGGTTTAGGAAATGAGATTAAGAAATGCCAGTGTCTCTGAATGATGAAATATTTTAGGAACTGCTGAAAAAATGATGAGGAACATAAAACTGGGAGAATCAAATTACTTTAGACCTTCAGAAACAGCTGCAATTTCTAGCCTCCACAAATTTCCATTTTTAAAAACTCCTCGCCCGAGGACATTTCCATGCTTCAATGCCCATAGAACCAAGACTGATGTTTAAAGTGGAACCTAGAAAATACACAGGGTTTTGAAACAAATCAGACAAAATGAACGGCTTTGGCTAAGAAAAATGTTTTTGAGCCTATCGTTTGAAGAGACACTCCAATAATGTATATGTACAAGACAGAATCTGAAAGTGCAGCTCTTAAAGGGGCATTAATTACACTTCACCATTTACACCTGTAACGACTACCTTACAATACCCCCTGTTCCCTCCCTAGATGGAAATCGTATGTTGGAACAAATGGAAGGTTATGTTCTGCCAAATCATGAGCAGGGAAAGCTGTAATGCTTTACAGAAACAAGTCTAACGGTGGAAATAGAACACGACACTAAAGAACCCCGTTGTACGGAGCTTGTGTGCTGAGATGCTCAATTGTGTTTCGTGGCCCAGGTCAACACACTGGGACAAAACCAGTGTGAAGTGCTCCTTCATCAGTAATCATCTTCACACAAAACATACACCTCTCTCCCTCCGCA